ATGTTTATGTTTAACTGAACATGTTTTGGAAGTTCTGTCTATGTGGCTCTGATGATGTATGACTAATGCATTTTTGACGTCATATCTCTATATAAATATAAGTTTGTTTTCAAAAATTTCTGTTCTATGTATGTTTGCACGACTCTATAGACTATGCATATTTTGTATATTTGCTTTCGTAGCCCTTAATTATATGTTATTCTATTAAGAGGCCTTTGGTAATCTAAGGATTACTGACCGATTACGACGCTAAACCTATAGGGGCGGGTTCGGGCCGTGACAGCAATTGTCATTTAGGGATGACACTTCAAAATTTATTGAGAGTTGAGAGAGATTGAGAGTTTAAGACAGATTGAGAGAGTTTAATAGAGAGAGAGAGAGAGAATTATTTGTGAGATTTATTTTAAAAAGGGAGGATATTTATAGTAGTTTGAAAGAGTAAAGTAAATTTAAAATATATATATATACATTATCGTTGTAGTAAACGGTAATATGACCGTTTGAATATTTTATTTTATTTTTTCATTCATATTTATTATTGGCAGCCGTACAAGTCTTTTGGCTGGCCGACAGATATATTGGTCGGCTGGACAGGTTTTTGGCCAGACAACCTGCCGGACGTTTAAGAGAACGACTTGTGCTCCAGTTTAGTTCTACCGACTGCAATGACTAATTTTCAAATTTTAACTTTGCAACGGCCATATCTTGAATGGGAAGAAGGAATGAGCCATGTCAGACAAAACAAAGCACTGAACTTTACTATACATATAGAGCAACAGAGCTCTTGCTTGCACTGCCATATTTATATAATTTTCCTACTGTTCTGATTGATGTATTAGTTTGTAATTTTTATTGGGGATTATTTTTTTTAATTTGTAAAAACCCAATTCACTCCCATCTTAGGTTGTCTTTTGGGTAACAGATAACAAAATATATATATATATATATATATATATCTTTATTCATTCATTGCAAGAAATTGACATTGACTATTGTGTTATTTTCTTTTGTTTTTATTTTTTGCAAGATCAATTTTTTTATTTATCTTATTTTATTTTTAAAATATTTAACCATTGCAAGTTGTTGTTTTTTTAATTTTTTGAAATTTGACCATTAGGTGGGCTGGGTCGGGCGCCCAATTTTTTTTGGACCGGACCAAGCTAATAGGTCGGGCCTCAAATGAAGGGCCTAGGCCCAGGCCCAGGCCTAGGCCCAGGCCCAGGCCCAGGCCCAAGGTACTGGATTGGGCTCAGGCTTGTGCCTAACTGGGCCGAAATGGGCAGGGCCTACCTCGAGCCTCGTGCGAGCTTTAGGCCGTCCACGGGCCTTAGGTCATTTTTACACCCCTAACCACACAAACTCTTACTACACATTAGTTTTTTAGGTTTCATTTGATAACTTTCAGTTTTAATCAAAAAGGTAAGTTGCATTAAGTTGTAACTTTCATTTGTATTAAGTTGTTTATTATAAGTTGTATATCACTCTTTTTATTTTTTTGTATATTTTATTTGTAAAAAGTTAAAAAATTATTAAAATAGCATGTTTTCAAACGAGACCTTTACACCATATATTATTTTAAATATATATATTTTTTTCTTATTTCATTGCATCAGTTTTTGGAAAATCCCAAAATATCTTCATCTTCTCCAACACTCCCATATCCTATCTACTAGTTGCCGCCACCCTTGTCCTAGTTGTCTCGCCGCCTTCCTCTTTATTATACTTATATCATGGTGAATATGATTATACATTGTGCAAAATATTTTTTAGGGTAAATTATACTGACACCTTCTGAGATTTGATCCGATTACATCTTATAAAAATTGTATTCTCACCGCTATGGTTAATAATCTCATTTCATAAATCCCCTTTACTTATATAAAAGGCAACAACTCCTGGTAGAAAAACAGAGAAAATTATATTAGAAAAAAATAAAAATAAAGCAAAAGAAAGAAAAAAAAAAAGAATAGAAGAAGTAAAAAAAAATATTTTTTTGATACCAATGTTAATTTTGTTTAAATAATTATATGATATAGGGTCAGTGTAATTTCCCAAACATTAAGGGATGATATGTATTAAACCCAAACCTTAGAGGTGTAAGTGTAATTTACCATTTTTTTATTAGCTACGGTCCCTTGATGAAATTTCTCTGTGATCATACCAGAGAAATTTATCTGGTATTTCTCAGTCAAAATTGAAATTTCTCTGAGTTCAAAGAAATTTCGCTATGAAAATTGAAATTTCTCTATGTCGGGACTGAAATTTATTTGAGTCAGGCGAAATTTCTCTGAATTGAACTTTTTTTGTGAAAATGTTGAGGAACCTAACTACTATGAAAATATCGTATGTCATTTATCTTATAAAATCTTAATATCATGGATCTTAATAAAAATTTCCCTTAATCTTATGGTTTAATTTATGGTAATTTTATGTTTAGTTTAAAATATTATTAAATAAGAAATTGGGTTAAAATTAAAATAATTTTATGGTAATAAATTAGGTGCTTAGTTTTGTCACAACCCAAATGTGCCTCCAAAAGTTTGGATCATAACCGACAAGTAATCACTTGATTACCTTAGGCCTCAAACAAACATGCAGAATAATTATAATAGTGGGGTCATAAGCGGAAACATAATGCAAATGAAGAAGTCCATTGAGCCATGCCAACATGATCAAAATTATACAGCTCACAACATAACACATTCACATATTTGCATGACCATGCAGAAACTTATGTACCAATAAGAATTCCATGCATATGATTTACATATCCCAAGATCATAAGCAAAATGAACTAAAAGTCATAACAAAATGTGAGTCAAAAACCAAAAGCTTCATCTTGAAGACTCGACCAAACAGGTTGACAAAAATAACTAATGAGGCAGAATCTAAGGTTGACCTCCATGCTAATCACTTACACACATACAACATAGGAGGTGAGGAACGCTCAATGAATAATAGTAATAAAGTAAAGAGAATCAAATAAATAATCTTGATTTAAAAAAAAAGCATGTTATGTTAACACAATGCTCTTCCACAATTACATCCTTCACAACATTATCCATAATCATACTTACAGAACGGCCTTAGGCCCAACATATTATGGAATGGACTCAGGCCCAACATATAACAGAACGGTCTCGGGCCCAATCATATATCAAAACAGCCTCGGGCCCAACATATAGCAGAATGGCCTTAGGCCCAACATATATCAAAATGGCCTCGGGCCCAATCATATATCAAAACAGCTTCAGGCTGAAGCACATCATAGCATAAACGGAATGACCTTAGGTCCATATTGCACATGTCATCTAACGTTCATAAAACTTGTTTATTTTTGTGAAAATACAATATCAGAATAAGTCACCGTACCCAGATCAAAATAATCAATTAAGAACATATCTTTACAATACTATTACTCACAATCTGCTTGGTCTTGTGGTGTTGCCTCCGGCACATGACTTACACAAAACATGTCGCATACACATTCGATAAAAAATTCGTTTAATGTCATACACTTTTCTTTTAATAGTTCACAACCTTTTTTAATGGGTTTCTAACCATCATTTCATATCCCAGAGGGTTTAAATAAGATCGGGAATGCGTTCGGGAGGCTGGAGAGGTTAACACGAGAAAGCAGAATTTTTCTCCCTTATTGGCCGCTCGTGCGGTTGGTCCAACCGCTCGAGCGATTAGGTTCTGCTCGTATAGAGGTGGTAGCCGCTCAAGCGGGAAGAATGGTTTCCTTTGATTTGGTCTATGCTCCGCTCGTGCGGAGCTCGCAGCCGTACGAGCAGCCTGGGCAGTTCCAGGCATTTCAAAACTGGAGTTTTGAAGCCAAGTTCCCAAACTCAATTTCAATCCCAAATTCATGCAAAACTCACTCAAAAACTTGTTATACTAACATGATTCAAGTATAATTTCAATTCAAACACATCAATCTTGCTTCAATGTAAAAATCAAAGTCTTATCTTTTTCTATACATATATAAAACCTCATGATCAAGTTCAAAAAATATATATACACATAGATGATCTTTCAACAAACCTTGGTTGTATGAACCATCTAGAGTTTATTTCATGAATTATTCACAAGATTGAGCTCAAGTCACACAAGGTTGAAGTGATTTCTTGATTTTATTTCAAGCCATTACACAATTCAAAACCCTAGCTCAAAATTCCCAATTTCCTCTTAATTTCAAGTAAAAGATGAGATATATACAAAGATTTCAAGTAGATTACCATACCTTATCTCAAATCTAGGGTTTGCCTCTTGAATATCTTCCAAAATCCTAACTTCTCCTCTTCCCCTCTCTCTAACTCATTCTTCAGCAAATCACTTAACAATGAAGAACTCAAAAAGTCAGATATATATAAATTAGGCTAATTAAACGTTACGAATCGTAATTTTACAAAATTTCACCATAAGCTCTAAAAATCATGCTAAACAAGATATGAAGTTGGTTTTGGCTTCTGGCACCTTTAAGGCTTTCAATTTCAGTTCAAAGTTGTAATTATAACAGATATTCCTACATTCGACAGATATAATTCCAAAATCACATAGCTCACATACTTAAACTTGCAAATTCATATCAAACACATAATCACATGCATAATTAAGCATAATACAGGTTGGGTTATCACAAGTTTACTATGATTTTATTTGTTAAATATATGATTAAGATAGAAAATTATATATATTAGAGAAGAGAGAATATATCATAGGTGTATTTAACTAATTTTTCCCTGAGTTAGATTTGCACTTTAGTTCAAAATCATAAGGGTTCTTTTCTTGTATTAAAAACTATAAAAGGATAAAATATTTCGAAGCAAAATCATAAGGGGGGTAAAATAAATTTTGCCCTCGTAATTATTTTATCTCTGTCTTTTTAAATTTTACTCAAATGGATGATTTAAACACGACTTACATGTTAAATTGAAAAAAAAAAAAAGAAACAAAAAGGAAAAAAAGATACATTTATGTAGAAAGTTTGAAAACAATCACAACCAACGCAACAACAATAATTTTATTATCACAAATTAAAGGGGAAAAAATATCATGTTACAAGCAAAACATAGCACATAAAAGTCTTTTTAAGGTTGCTTTATTTGCCATATCATATTTTTAAGTGTGCTTATTAGCAATCTCTAAGAGACAGCAACAGAGTTCTCGAGGCTTTGAAAGCATTGCCATATGATCTGCACCCTTGATCTCCTTCACCTCTTTCACTCCTCCGCTGTTTTCGATCATCCACCGTTGGTATTTCTCTGGTATTGTGTAATCTTCATTGCACACAACAAAAATTCGCGTAACCGATCCGTAACCTTCATTTGAGAAGTTATTTGCATGTGCCAAATCTTCTAAAAATAGTGACCCTGGCCTCACTAATATTGTTGCTAGTGTGAAATCCTATAAAAATAGCATATTAACTTGTAGTATGTTTAGAAACACAAAAATTAAATATGGATTCGAACATTGAAATCATATGATAATATTTTTTTTCTCTATGTTTAATTTTGAGAGAGAGAGAGAGAGAGAGCGGGAGAGTATGTGATGGGGGTGTGTGGGGGTGTGTGTGTGTGTGTGTGTGTGTGAGAGAGAGAGAGAGAGTCACCAAATTCTAAATCACAAAGCTACATTTATTTAATATTTTAAAATTTCAATAAAAAATGGAAATATAGTTGTTATTGATGAAATACTCCTTTTCAATATCCAAACCATATTAGTTGCCATATTATCTTTCCGTTAGTCCTACATAAAATACTTACATTTGGTAATAAGGTGTTGTAAGTTTCTTATTCATCAGGAAAAAAAAAAAACAACTCAAAAAGTTTTCGTTTGAGAGGGGTAGTTTTTTGAGAAACTACCTTACAGTGGTGTTAGATGAAAAAAATTATAAATTAATAAAAAAAGTGGTTTTAGATGAAAAAAATTATAAATTAATAAAAAAATTATAATATTTGTAATATCTTTTATTTGTTGATAAATAATTTTTCACTGACACATGTCAATGTAATTTCTCCTTTTTTTAGTGAGAAAAAAATAATTGGATACAAATAAGTGATCACTGACATTACGGATAGACATACATGCTATTATGGAGTTTTTTGAGAAGCTAGTAAAAAGTTAATTTTTAACTTTTTACTCATTTTACGTCACATTACATCTCACATAATTTACTTACGAAAAAATAAAATAAATTAAAAAAACTAAAAAATTAACTTTTTACCAACTTTTTAAAACACTTCTATATTAATAATGTGCTGATACAAAACATGATATATTAAATTTTGTACACAAAAATATTTTAAGTATAACATTATTCTTGTGAATGTGTCCTGACTCATATCTTATACAAAATTAGATTAAAAAAATCTACGATAAATGTAGAATTTAATACATGACACAAGATTCTCTATCTAGAAATATATATTTTTAAAAGTATTTACAATTATTAGATTTTGTTTCAAGCTTTTGTATCTTAAAATTTTCAAATTATTGTGATTGTTTTGGGACAGTATTTTTTAACATGAACTATCTTAATTTTGAGTAATATTATGTTTCAAGAAAGAAATATCATCAAAGTTTCATAAAGATTCTTTATCCTTAAATTAGTTTGTGGTTTTATGTTATGTAATCACATACACTAAGTTACAATCTATCAATCATACTATAAGACAAAACTTATACGTCTATACTATTTACAAACTAAAACTTCAAAATTAAAACACATCTATATATATATATATATAAGGAAAATAAACTTTTTAGTAAGAAGCCTTCTAGGAGCTCCAAACCCTCATTCTAATTTTCTTTATTTTTTTAATTTTAAATAATTACTTTTATTTGATAATATATACCACATCGAAAAAAAAGAGAAAAAAAAAATGAGTTGTTTTACTCATATAAGAAGAATCTTATACTCCCATCCCATTTAGTGAGGAGCCTTGTGAGAGTTTCAATATCTCATACTAATTTTCTTAATTTTCTTAATTTTAAATAATTAAGAAGATCTCTGTTGGCGAACTTTTATTTGAAAATCCAACATCAAAAAAAGAAAGAAAAAACGAATTATTTAGGGTAGAATAGAGTGAATTGTTTATGTTGATAGTTTAGGTTGGAAGCTTTTATCATAGTTTAGGTTGATGGTTCACCAAACTACACGTTGAAAATGTGCCTCTCTAATAGGAGGCCAACTTACATAATTTAAAGTTTTTTTTAATAATTAATGTTATTATTATTATTATTATTATAATAAAAGAGTTTCAAAATTTGGAGGCCGTCACCCATCTCTCCCAATTGGATCCAATTAATTATATTTTTAAAACAATATTTTGCTCCAAATGTAATGATGCAAGTTAATTCTACGATTATGACCACATGGATGACAATATAACAAAGCACATGTCGGAGAAGAGAAGATGTCAGTTGATTGACTTTGATTTATTTTCAATTTTTATTAATAACATTCTGAACAAATTAAAATTTGATTTATTTTGAGCGAGACTATCATTTATAATCACTATAAATAGATCATATATTTTTATTAAAGATAAATATATTGAAATCACATGAACATGATTTTAGAATGAATTTTTTTTTATTTTTTTAATATGCATATGAGTTTACAAAATGATCGAGTATGCTAAATTCACCAACATAAATTATGTCTCTCTAATTCCCGTTGACTAGTTTTCATTTACCTTTTATTTTACAATCCCACATTAAAAAAAGAAAGAAAAAGTGAATTGTTTCACTTACATAAAGTGAATCTTATGCTCCCATCTGTATAAGCAAAATGAAATTTTTAGTGAGAATCCTTATGATCAATATCTCATACTAATTTTTTGATTTTCTTAATTTTAAACAATTAAGAAAATCTTGATTGGTTAGCTTCCATTTAATTTTTATTTTATATAATATAAAAAAATAAATATAATTATCATATTTTTATTAAATAATATATTATTTTATCTTGTGCATAGTACAGATGATATGCTAATTTATTTTAAGGTAAACCACTTTTTTTATTTTGTGACCTACTACATTATATTATTTCTTAAAATTTCATAAAAATTAATTATTTCTTAAAATTTTATAAAAATTTTCATAATATTTCTTTCATCAAATCTAACCTTGCCCCTTAATTTTTCTTACATTGCTTTCCGCCGCCAACCAATGATTAACAAATTAGTAAGACGTGCCAAACTAATAATAATAATAATTAAAGATTGAAGGCAAACAATATTTTAATATCTTTAATTATTTAAAACTATTGGATAATACTGCACCACTTTGGGCTACGACCTCTTAAAGCGCGCGAATTGGGAGAAAAGCCTGCAAGCTTTGCTCATAAAATGCAAAGAGACCTACTACGAGATAGATCCGCATTAATCTTACTATTTAAATTAATAACAATCAAATTAAAACACTAGATATATTTCTTCCAACAACAATATAGAGAAAATATTATTTCCATAAAAGTGAGAGAAAATATTTTAATCTTACTATTTAAATTAATAACAATCAAATTAAAACACTAGATATATTTCTTCCAACAACAATACAGAGAAAATATTATTTCAATAAAAGTGAGAGAAAATATTTATCTATTAATGATAAATTTTATTACATTAAAAGTCAAATTTATAAAAGTTTCAATATAATTGATATTTATTTTTTGAAGTTTATTTAAAATATGAATTGCCCCATAAGGTTCTAAAACTTATTTCCTGCCTCCTGAAATTTCTAATTTCATAACAAATGATCATTTTTATTAATAAATTATCAAGTTAATTAATAATTTTTAATGATGTTAAAAATGTATTTCAATTAATAATTCAAATAATTTTATTATTATATATGAATATGAATTTTATTTTTTAATTAATTTTGTTAAATAATTTTTTTTATAATTATATATTTATAATTTTTCAAATTAAAGAGAATAATTCATATTTTAAATATATCTTTCCCTTATTTTTTTTTACATCCCACTAATTGGCTATTTACTCAACTAACGATTGCCTCGTTTTTAACATGGCGTGTATTGTAGCTTGAACTTGCAAGTGGGCCATTGATATATATATATATATATATATATACATATTTGTTACAAGAAAATCCTTCTTCTCTTCCGCAGGTCTAAAGCAGTGCCTCTTACAGAGATCATCAAGTTGTCCTATTGTTTGTTCTGAGTCAGAGACTATAACCTAAAAATTTTCCCTGACCTCTCAAGACACTACAAGAAAAAGCGTTTTTGGCGACCAAAATTTCATTTTTCGTCCCTGAAAGTAGTAGAAATGGCGACTAAAATGGAATTAGTCGCCAAAATTGAACACTTTTGCCTACTGAAAGACTTTAGTCGCCGAATACAATGGTTTTAGCGACTAAAAGGCAGTTTAGTCGCCGAATGTAGGGGTTTTAGCGACTAAAGGTTGTTTAGTAGCTAAAAGTGACGGTTTTTGGCGACTAAAATAATTTAGTAGCCAAAAGTGATGGTTTTGGCGACTAAAAAGCAGATTGGTCGCCGATTGTAGGTGTTTTGCCGACTAAAAACAGATTGGTCGCTGAAAGTGAAGCTTTTTGGCTATAAAAAAAAATTAGTAGCTAAAAACTGAGTATTGGCGACTAAATTTCAGTTTAGTCGCCAAAAACGTCCCCTTTTGGCGACTAAAAATAGGTTTCTGCTGATTTTTAATTGGAACTTCTTTTTTTAGCGACAAAAAAATAATTAGTAGCCCAAAATAATAGAAATGGCGACTAAATAATGGTTTTAGTCGCCAAAAGTGGCCTAAATTCTTTTTAGTAAATAATTTATTTTTTACATAAATTATATTGAATTAAAAAAATTATATTTATAAATATTATTTTGTATTAATAGCGGTTAATATACTATATAAATAATATATATTGCATATATATTAATGTGATGTTGTAGTGGCATAGTGGAGGGAGGGTTTGGCAAAAGGTTTGGAATGTGGTGGTGGGATGTCTCAGGTTCGAAACCCTACGAGCAGCAGGTTCAAAATTTATGTATAAATTAAAAAAAAAAAATTCACTATTGGCGACTAAAACTTTAGTCACCAAATGTAAAATTTAGAAAATATAAATGAGCTTTGGCGACGAAAATTTTAGTCGCTACAGAGTTTGTTTTTGGCGACTAAAAGTGGGTTAGTTGCCCATACCTTCCGCGACAGTTTTCCAGCGACAAACATGGCGACTAAAAAATTTAGTCGGGAAAACCTAAAACCCGACTTTTGGCGACTAAAAAATCACTTTTGGCGACTAAAAATTTAGTCGCCAAATGTGTATTTCTTGTAGTGAGATAAATTCTGTTTAAGTCAGGACTCGCGCAGCGGGAAGTATTGAACCCATGCCAAGTGCTGCGGTAACAACAACTAGAGACTAACCTTCTAATCAACTGTACTACGCTCAAAAGGTTAACCCAAAAAATTTTAAACTTAAAACCTGAGATCTTAACCCCCAAATATTTACCAAGGGCACTAGAAGTCTTGGGTTAAGCCATTGATTTGTTAGTCCTAACAAACCAACCATTATCTCTGCTTCCTTATCTATTGTGTAAACCATTATGAATAAATTTGACTATTTTTTCACTTTGTCTTTGATTTTTTTTTTCTTGTTTTGAACTTTTATATATTTTTTATTTTTTTTCAAATTTACTCATAATGTTAAATTTTATTTTAAATTAGACAGAAAATATTATGTTATCAAAAAATATTATTATATTAAGAATAATGCTAGGCACATCATAAAAAGTTTCATGAAAATTATTCATCTTTGAATTACACACAAAAAAATAACACACATTAAGATGATATTTCTTTCATATTGCCTAAAATTACTCTTGTATTAGAGTTTGAGTTTGGTAATGTGAATTATATATAATAAAATATTTATATATTAAGTGACTATCAATATGTCATTTTCTATTTAATTTTGAACGTAACTTACCTTTTGAAATAAATTAACAAAATACTTGAAACATAAAAAGCTAGAATAAGAGGAAAAAAAAAAATTATCTTTACGCTGTGTTTGCTTGTGATATTTAGAAAGGAAAAATGAAAAGGTAGGTAAAATATGAATAAAATATATCTATATTTTATCTAGTTTACACACCCTTTTCCTTTTCCTTTCCAAATCATTTCCAAATCCTTCAACCAAATACAGCGTTATCGAATCTTAGTCGCTTCATTAATATTAAATATTATTCTAGCATTAACAATACTTTGATCAATTAATAATATGAACTTATCATTATTTCAATTAAAAAAAAAAAATCATTATTCACTAATGTGAATTTTTCTCAATTTAAAAACAACTTATTACTAGAAAACATGAAAATGAGAAATTTTAATTTTTACATTTTGATTATTAATTATTATTAACTTAGAAAAAATTGTACCAAATAAATAACCCAATAAATGAAGTGCGAAGTAGAAAACAAAAGGCCACAAATACGCGTATGGTGTATGAGTGATTTAGACGTTTCTAGCATTTGTGGCTGAGCCTTGTAATTGTATGACTATTTTTATATCTAATTCTGCGATCAATTTCTATATAATCTGTACCTGTTCGATAACAAACGAGGGTTTGTGCACAGTATCGGGCATGAAAGCAGTGAGGAAGACAGCAGTGGAGATTTTCTGGGGGAACTTGTCCATGGCAAGAGCTAAGTTCAAGCCACCAAGACTGTGCCCAACGAGAACCACCTTTTCGCCCAGAGGAAGCGATTCCATGACCTCCATCAACGGCACCGTGTAGTCATAAAAAGTGCGAATCTCTTCTATCTTCTTCATGTTGATACCGGATGCCGAGAGGTCGAGGGCAGTGACCTTGTGGCCATGAGACTCCAACAGTGGTTTGAGCTTGTACCAACACCAAGCTCCATGGCAAAGACCGTGTACCAGGATGAAATGGGTGTGTGTTTGTTGTTTGGCTGCTTCCATCTTTTTGTCTGTTGGTGATGGTGGGCCTCCGATGTGGATGGATGTTCCCTATCCTCTCTATATATAGGCAAGGAGCGGTGCAACATAGTGACGCACGCATTTATATTTATAAATTCATTCACACAATAATGTCTTATAGAAATTGGCGTCTATTATCATTAAGTGAATAATAAATTAAAACTAACACATATTTTATCATATTGTTATGGATAGAATTGTAAATACATTTCGCAAATATTTTTCTTATTGCAGGATAAGGGGATAATGGAAAATTATTAATCCATTGCTTGCTTTATATGGTACTAAAATTTTAAATAATTTTAATAATAATATAAAAAAATTACAAAAATAAGATGATTTGATTTAAAAAAAATATATATATATATTCAAAAAAAAGCCAACAATAATATAATTTATTTTTTACAATCCTATCAATAATCTAATCATATCCAATCTTATATATATATATAGATTGATTTATTTCTCTCTCATTATGAAAATTGTATAGGATTAGTAGTGGCTGTTGGGCTTGACTTGATAAATTTGTTTAATGATGTAACTATTTCTTAAAATGTAATTATTCTTATATCTATTGGAAAAAAGAAAAAGAAAAAAAAAGAAGCAAACTAGGCCTGTAATTCATGCTTGGCCATCTCTAGTTCCACTTAGATGAGCCATTTGGTTTATTTTTAATTTTGTCAAGTAGTTTATTTAAAAATAAAAAAAAATTAGTAGTATTTTTATAAAAATAGTTATAAATTTATTGAAAAGTTAGATTTTAATTATTAATTTTAATAGAGTTTATTATTAATTTAAAGTTATTTTTAAAAACTTACACTTGATTGTATTTTTTTGAAAATATCACATTGATTCAATCATTTATAATAATATAATTTTATTGTTTTCATATTCATAAAAATGGATTAGTTCGATTGTAATAATAATGCGCATTTTTTAAGATAAAAAATGAAAAAAAATTATAATTATAATTATAATTATAGCTATTAATTTAATTTAATTTTTATTCAATAAATAATTCATGCATAAATCTAATAAATCTTTAAAATAGGTAATAATGGGCCCATAGAACAGGGGAAGGTCCAATCCACTTTCCAAAGTTAGCTTGGTTAGGCAATGACTTGAGAAAGGCACTCATTTTGACTTTTAAAAAGGATAATTCTAAATCCACACGAGACAAACTCTTACTCATTTTGACTTTTAAAAGGATAATTCTAAATCCACACGAGACAAACTCTTACTCATTTTGACGTTTAAAAGGGTAATTCTAAATCCACACGAGACAAACTCTTACTCCACAAGGTCTCGTTTGACCATTTTTATTTTTAGTTAAAAAGTTCAAATATTATTATAAATTATTGTATTATTATTTTTTTATTTTTTGTATATTTTTTTGTAAAAAATTAAAAATTATTAAAATAATTTATTTCCAAATAAGACCTTTACACCACATATTATTTTAATTATTTAATTTTTTTTCTTATTTCACACCATCAATTTTTGAAAAACCCTAACATATCTTCTTCATCTTCTCCAACACTCCCATATCCTATCTACTATTGGCCGCCACCCCTGTCCCAATCGCCTCACTGCCTTCCCTTTTACTATACTTATATCATGGTGAGTATGGTTATACACTTTACAAATCGCAGACATAATATATACTTACTATATTTAACACCCTTTAGCTTCCTACTTTTCCCATCGCCACCGTCGTCCTCATCCTCAGCTCGTCTATCAATCCTATTAATCATGTGGTTTAATTTTGATGATATCTGAAATATTTAGGGATAAATTGTGATTTTTCAATACACATATTTTACATTATTTGATACAAAATATTTACTGTGCATGTTTGGAATTCATGAAAATTACTGTGCATAAAATCTGTTTAACACTTTTGACAAATTTGATATACCCACATAGGGTGGTGGGTTATTTTTATGTATCTAAAATCTCTAAAATAGCTACAAAGATTTTAGATAGGGCACAAAGCTTTTAGATAGGGTATATATTTTTACATCTAATATAAATATTATTTAAAGAGATTTTACTATTCATTTAAATATTTTAATAAAAAAAGTCACTGTGCATTCAAATATTTTATTAGAAAAGTCACCATACACCATTTGATTTTACGGCAGACATTTTGAAAATATTGAAATTACTGTTCATTGAAAGCGATGTTTGACTCTCAATTCAAATCCTCATCCTACAAATTTTGAAATGAGAAATTGGCCCATTGCTTTGCGTGTCAAAGGGGTCGAACTTAGCATGAGGAGCGTCTCTCCTCCAACAGATATAATTTTGGATATATATAGAAGTGTTTTGTGTGAAGAAAAATCAAGATGTTAGGAAGACAAAAATCTGTTATATTGAAATATTCTCAAATATTGTATTATGCTTCATTGAGTTATATATTTTCTGTGAGAAAATTTGTTGAGAGTTTGAACGAAATTGTAAAAGGATTTTCTATCCCTTATTCATATTATTCTTGTAAAAAGGTAGAGTTTTTGTGAGTGATTTTTTTGAGATAAAATCACTTGGGTTAGGTGTGATTAAGCACCGGATTCAATACTAGTTGGGATATTTTTGTGAGTGATTTCTGAGATAAAATTACTTGGTTAGGTGTGACTAGTAGGGCTGTGCAACGGATCCACCGACCCGCGGCTGTGCAGCGGATCCACCCCCCCGCCACACCCGACCCGACCCCCAACGGAGGGATGCGTGCCACGTGGCGGGCGGATGCGGGCCTGATTTACGGCATTTTTCCGGTTCGGGTCGGGTGGCGGGTAATCCGCCATTTTAGCCACCAGACCCGACCCGACCACCATTGGCTCTTTATTTATTTATTTTCGGCTGATATATGCCTCATTTTCCCCTCTTTTCCTTTCTGATATGCATCCATCCTCCATTTGCCCTAATTTTCGAATACAGCCATTCTCATTCTCTCTCTCTCTCTCTCTCTACCCTACCCATCGTCGGACGATCTACACGGCGTCGGCGATCACCTACACGGCGTCGACGATCGATCTACACTACTTACTGACTAAGGTATCTCTTTCTCTCTCTCTCTCTCTCTCTCTCTCTCTCTCCCTCTCTCTACTTTCCTCTTCTTCTCTTCTTCTGATCTGAGTCTAATTTGTTTTTTTTTTTTTGTTCCATTTCTAAAAAAAAATAGATGGTTAGATTGATCGATCTACAGTCTACTACACTCACTGACTGAGGTACTGAGGTACCTCTCTCTCTCTCTCTCTCTCTCCTTCTTCTTCTTCTTAACTGTTTTTTTTTTGGTTCCAGTTCTAAACTTCTAATCTTTTAGAGTCTAATCTATTATTATTATTATTTTGTTTTGTTCCAGTTCTAAAACTAGAGATGTGGTTAGATTGATTGACACAGTGTTAACTGTTAAAGGTTCTACAGAGAAAGGAATACAGAGAGAAAACCACAGAGAGGTTTGGTTTATCATCTGTTTTGTTATTATCAGATTGATTGAACAATCTATTCTAAACTAGATTGATTCCAGTTCTAAACCAGATTGATTGAACAATCTGTTTTGTTATTATCTGCCTTTTATTTTATTCTTACTTCTATTATCTCTTAAAATACTAACATAAATATAACAAATTTTATTATATAAATCAATAATTATCAAGTTGAGATATAATATGGATTTGACGTAGGACTGGTCAATAATTTCTTGATCTTGACAATATTAAAAGGGAGGAATAGGTTTAAAGTGAAGTTTTTATGTCAGAAAAGTATCTCTAATACTTGAGTTAACTTTAATTGAGACTGTGGAAGTATGGGCAAAACATTTTAAGGTTAAACATTCTTTCAAACAATGAGACATAATTTATTGGTTTAAACAAGAAGAGTAATGAATTGTTTGAGATTACTTAGAAAAATTAACGAGATTTAAAAACATGTTCAAGTTTAGTGTATTTATCTTTCTAGTCAATCCCAAACAATCAAGATGATTACTAACCGAGCTCTAACAACTAATTTTTATACAATTCTATAATTCATATAAACTTATCGATCCAAATTCAAAAGAAGAAAAAAGTTTAAAATATGTCCCAACTTAACTTGTTTTCAATTTTAAATAAGTGTTTAACAAGTGAAACATAAATGTAAGCTTGAGTAACTTGGTCTGTTTTACTACCCAAACAACTGGTTTACATATTTTTGGGTGGGTAACTAGTTTACATTAACGTTCATGTAAGTATGGATGTTTTGGGGGAAAAAAAAACATCAATGGTTAGGGAGAGAATATTTGTTTTGGGGTGTGTGTGTGTGTGTGAGAGAGAGAGATTGATTTGACTTTAATACTATTGGATTAATTAATGAAGGTTAGCTCTCTAGATGATGATAAAGAAATGATTAGAGGGTGGTCAGCAAACACAATCACAATTTGAACAAATGTAATACTAAGCATTTTTAATTTTTTTTAGGAACATTTGTTAGAGCCTCTGTGTCACCCAAAACATGATCAAGAAAAGAAAACAAACGTATATTGTTTTCTTGCTTTCTTGCTTTGTAAAAAAAAGACACAAAAGCATCTTGGTCAAACCTTATTCAAAATTCTGTTTGTGTCACCAAAATTGTTCTCTCTTCTCAAGTGTCTTCAACTGAAATGTGAGGAGCCATTATTGACTAAACCTTTTTTTTTTTCCCTTCCTAATCACATCATTAGTTTAGTCATATTCTCAACCTTTCTTTGTCATATAATTTTAGTCTTACTTACGACAAATAAACATGATTATCACTTGGGCTCCACATTAATAATTTATTTGCAAGACAAAGCTTATATATCATATTTAATTAGAACTATATGTCTGCAAGTTCATGTGTGGTTTTTAACATTAAATTAAGATTTTTAAAATTAATTGTATGATCAAAACTACACATTCTATATCTTTTTGCTTTAGAGCACCATTTGTGATGAGTCCAATTATTCTATGAAATTATTTATATAAAACAGACTAACTTTTCAATATTTTCCATCACAACATGGCCTAACTAGTTCCTGCATTAGAAATTT